TTTTCGTTTTTATTGGTACCAGGGATCGAACTCATGACTGCCTGCTTGCAAGGCAGGCGCTTATGTCGCTGAGCTAAATCCCCAGCCCCCCGTGAGTTATTTTTATGCCCATGTCTATCACCATGCACTAAACTAAAGTCAAAATGGATTACAAAGATCTAAATATAAACGCAGAAACATTAAATCTTCTGGAAGACAAAGTTGGTAGAAATCTTGAAGACATAGGGGTGCGCAGAAAATTCATGAACAAAAATTAAACTGCACAGGAAGTGCTTCCCAGCATCAATAACTAGGATCTCATCTTATTAAAAGTTAGTTTTTGCATGTCAAAAAAATCTCCAATAGAGTGAAAAGAAAACCTACAAATTGGGAAAAAATCTTAGTCAACTGTCCCTAAGACAAATGACTACTATCTGAAACGTACAAAAAATTTTTAAAAATTAGACGCCCAAAATTCAAAGACCTAATCCAAAAATGGGAGTCTGAGAATGAATATACACACTTCTCAGCTGAAGAAATACAAATGGCAAATAAATATATGAAAAAAATGTTCAGCACCATTAATCATTAGAGAAATGCAATATTAAAACCACATTGAGATTTCATCTCATTCTAGAAAGAATAGCTATGATCAAGAAAGCTGGAGAGGCTGTTGGGGAAAAGCAACACTTCTGCACTGTTGGTGAGATTGTAGACTGGTGCAACCACTGTGTAAGTCAGTCTGGAGATTCCTCACAAAGGTGGAATTGGAAGTCCCATTTGACTCAGCTATTCCACTTCTAGGCATATTTCCAGAAGAACTGAAAGCATCATACCACGTAATATATGTGCACCCGTGTTTATAGCAGCACAATTTGTAGTAGCCATATCTTAGAAACCATAACCTGGGTGCCCATCGACTGAGAAATGGATAAAAAAGATGTGGTAGTTTTAGGCACTGGAGTACTATCAGCTATAAAGAAGGATCACATTGAGGCTTTTATAGGTAAAGAATGTGACTTCAGACCATACTCATAAGTGAAGCAAATAGATTTTTAACACTGGGTTGTTCTTGGATTTCCTCTACTTGATTTCCCGGAATCTTCCACTTTTCTGAATATGTGTCATTCCTTGATGGCAAAATAAATTAAACTCATTTTAACTATGGTTTCAGAAGCAGAATTCTCTCTGCAGTTGTATGAAAAGCTGTACGAATACAAAGATGTCTGTTGAGTTTTCTTTGCTTTTCTCATCTGCTGAGAAACATCTGTAACTCAAAAAAGACAACATATTCCCTCACAGCAGTAACCCTTCTGGCTCTTAAATAGCCATATTTGTGGTTGTAAGCTCCAGTCAGAAGCAAAGGAAAAAAAAAAAAAAATAAGCCACAGCATACCCATCCAAAGAACTATGCCTGGCGTACTTTTCTTGTGCTCCTCATGGATGCTTTCCTATTGACCTTTCTTTTTTGCTCCAATTTAGAATCAGTTAATCTGTTACTCCTGAGAGGTATAAAATTTCCATATTCTTGTTGATTTATATGGATTTCCTGTAAACTGAAGACTTCAGGATGAAATCAATCATGATGATGCCTACAGCAGTGGCCACGGGTAGGACTTCAGAAACACCTGATGTTTTCCATTCTTATTAGGAGGGAAATGAGAACATGGTTTTTTCATGATGCTTCCTGTGCAGTGGAGATTGAGAACCTCATACTGATAAAACAATAGAAACATGCCATTTTGCACCTATAGCTGTTGTTTTATGATGATAATAAAACAAAATCTAAAGGCTTTACGTGGCTTTTTAAGGAATTGTTGACTTTTATTAAACTTCTGTGTGTGGGGACCCTATTAGCATCTCAGAATGAGTGAAATAGCTGTTTTGACTCAATTTAGATACCACATAGGCATTTGTTAAAAAATGTAATAGCTCTGAAATTCTGTTACTTTGTATGTTTAAGAGAGAGTTGTTAGGCTGTTTACTTTTGTTTGCTGTCTTCTATGATATTTTTCTTACTCTTCTTATATATATAAGTCACATTCCATGTATTCAAGTACCAAAATAATGTAAATATACATTAGCACTGGGAGGGTCTTTTTAAAAAGTAAAATCAGCATCCTTATTACAACTCTTCATGTTATAACTTTGTAGAGTATTTGTTACCTGACAGAAAGCAAAGAGAAAGATAATTCTAGGAGATCCATAACATGGGCTTTTTCTATGTAACTGAGCTTTATTTATATATTTTTAGTGTCCAAATTCCCATTTGTCATGGAAATTTAAAATTAAGCCTACCCAATGTGCACATTTTAATTTAATATAAAGGAATGTAATTTATTATTTGGCACAAAGTTGTATTGTAATAAGCTCCCACTGATGTCATGGTGAATTCTGTGCATGAAATGAGGACAAACAAATGATTCATTTTCCATGAATATTAACAATCAATGTTACGTTCTCTCCAAGCTATGGTATGAGATTCTTTATCAAAATGCTCAAATTATTTAGCAGTATTTATTCTACTGATTCTATTTGGCCAAGAAAAATTTTATAAAATTAATAATTTTCACAGTATCACTATACAAAATAATGTAGTAAAAGAAATCAGTTAAGTCAGTGTGATTGCAGTTTGGTCAGTGAATTCTTATGGTAATGACAATACTCCAATGATAGGGTCACCTTGTAATCTGTGATATATTTCCATGGATACATTATTGTGTTTTATTTGTTATTTCAGGTATTATGAAATAAATATTGCTTTTGTATACAGCTACACTATGTAATAGATTTCTCTGTTTTAAAATCAAGCTTTTTATCATTCAGCAAAGTCTTATTGGGCAGTTAGATTTTAAAGCGAAGCATGTGCTAGATATTTGAGTTTCAGTAGCAAACAGGATTAATACTACAGCTTACAAGCCATGGATCTTATATTCTAGTGAAGAACACTGGCAATAAAATACTGACCAACATTATTGAGATAATTGCAGATTATAAAGACAATGTATGAAGTTATTCTTGTTTTGCTAATTGAAACCTAATTACTTTCTAAAGACCAGTGTATTATAAGGTAACTAGAAGAAAGCAAAGCAATTTCGTAAAATCAGGATCTAATATTCTGAATAATAGATTTAATTTAAACATCCATGAAGATATTTTATTTTGTTTCTGCTTTTTTATGTGTCTTTTTTTTAGGTCAGTGTTTCAATACAGAAATACAGAATCGATTTAACTTACTTCATAACTGAACTACACAATTGGTGAAATATTTAAAATGTTGTTTTGGTTTCCTAAGGATACCATACCAAATTATCACAAAGTAGGTGACTTAAAACAATCAAAAACAAACAAAAACCCTGAAACTTATTCTTTCAAAATTTTAGAGGTCACAAGTACAAAATCAAGTTTGCTAGAGTTGGGTCCTCTTGTAGGAGGTGAGGAAAAAATCTGTCCTGTGCTTCTCACAGCTTCTCATGGAAAGCCTTTCCAGTCTCTAGTGCTGTCCACACCTGTGCTTGCTGTATCTCAAATGTTCTTCTGCCTTCTCTTGTAAGGGCAGCTGTCATTGGGTTTATAGATCTTGCTAATTCAAAGTGATTTCATGCCTTAAGTACAGATAGCATATTCAAACCAAAAAAGACCAAAATCCATGTGAACATTGCTTTTGTGGAGGACCTATTCAACCTACTCCCCATACAAATCACAATTAGAAAAAACATCCCCAATAGTAGAAAGATGTTAGTCAAGATAAAATATTCAGCAATTTAAGGAAATTTCTAATTTTAACTGTGTGATTTGGTTTGTGTTAAAGTGCTTTCTTTAAAAAAGTGAATAATATAATCACGAACTTCTGGTTAAAAATAACTGTTGTCCAAGAAGTATGGTCACAACAAAATCTTGCTGTATACTAGAGGAAACAAGCTTACTAAATCATAAGTACTAATTAGGCAAGTACACTGTGCTAGAAGAGAATATTTTCAGTTTACAACAATTAATTGACAGTAACCTGTGTGTGGACAAAACAATCCCAGAGTATGATTGGCATGTGTTGAAGAGCTATGTGCTGGAGGTATCATAGAAAATTCATTGTTTTCCTTTTCTTTTCCTCAGTCTGTATTTTAAACTCTTTTAATAGTAGATGTTTTAATTGTAATACATAATAATTATATCCTGTTTGTGGAATTGGTGCGTATACATGTTGAAGTAATCTTTTTTGCTTCCCTTTCTCCTCCCTCCCCCATCTGCCCTTGTCCCTAAATCCCTTTTGCATCTCCATAAAAAATCTACCTCCATTTTTCATATTTTTATTTTATTCCTTAAATTTCTATATTTCAGTCTTCTTATATAGGAGAATCCATTCAATAGTTATGCTTCTGTGCCTAATTTATTTCACTAAACTTTATGAATTTAAAGTTAATTTGTATTCCTACAAATGATTTAAGATTATCCTCATGCATTGTGCTGTCATCAGTATGGATGTGCATGCATCACTGTTCTGTGATGTCTTTGACTCCTTTAGGAAAGTACTCAAAAATTTTTTACATAGGCCAAGTGTAAGTCCTACCTTTAAGTTTTTAGAAATCTTCATACTGTTCTCTCCAAGTTGTGCTGGTTTTCATGCCCACCAGTGGTGTACAAGTGTTTCTTATTCCCCACAACCTCACCAGCATTTATTGTATTTTGAGTTCTTGATGACAGCCATTCTTTTTGAGTAAAATGGAATCTCAGCATTGTTTAGATTTTGTCTATCTAATGATCAGTGATACTGAATATTTATTTTATGAGCTTGTTAGATGTTTATACTTTTTATCTGGAGAAGTAAGTCTTGTATTTTCAGGGGTCTAAAATTTGAGTTCATTAATTAATCTAGATATTAGCCATCTGTCTGAAATGAACAAAAATTTTTCTTCTTCTTTAGTTCATCTTGTCACTGCTATATGTCTCCTGTATATGACGTCAAAGATTTCATTTTGACATAATCCCAGTCATTGATTTCTCATGCAGTTGAAATTCTGTTCAGAGTGATCACTTCGGGATCACATATACTAAAATTGGAACAATAGAAAAAGGATTAGCGTGGCTCCTGTGCAAGGATAACATGCAAATTCGTGAAGCATTCCATATTGAAAGAAAAAAAGAAAGAAAGAAAGAAAGAAAGAAAGAAAGAAAGAAAGAAAGAAAGAAAGAGAGAAAGAGAAATTCTATTTATAAAGACTTGCTTGTGCCTTTTTCTCAAGAGTTTCATCCACTTTATTTATATTCAAGTATATTTAGCGTTTTTTTCATAGCTAGGTATTTGATCCATTTTGATTTAATTTTAGTGTAGAATGATACACACAGGTAAAGATCCATTCTATATGAAGATAACTAATTTTCCCAACACCGTTTGTTAAAAAGGCTGCATTTTTTTCAAGCGTGTGTTTTGGTCCCTTCCTGTTTAGAGTTCAGATGGCTGAAGGTGCCTGAGGTTGTTTCTGCATCTTTAGTCACTTCCTTTTGAAGTATTATAAATTTTCCCTATAAAGACCTTTCACTTCCCTAGTTAGGTTAACTATTGACTTTTTAAAAAATTTTTGAGTCTAGAATTGTTTTTTTTCTGATTTAGTTTTCTGTGGATTCATTGTTAGTGTGCAACAATTTTCTGCATTTGTGTAATAGTTCTACATGACTCCCAATTTTTTAAAAAAGTTTTCTATGTAAAGGATCATAAAATTTGGCAATTAAAAATAGTCTGTCTTCCTTTTCTCTATCCCTCTATTGGTGTCTCTTGCTTGCCTGCTTTAGCTAAACTTTCAAGTGCTGTGTTGAACAGATACGATAAGAATGGACACACTGGTCTTGTTTCTGACTTTAGAGGAAAGCTTTCAGTGTTTCCCCATTTAGTGTGACATTGGCAATGGGTTTGCAATAAATAGCTTTTATCAGTACAAGATAACATTCTTCTACAGATGGTTCACCAAAGTTTTATCATGAATGGATGCTGCATTTTGTCAAAGGCTCTTAGTTTTTTTAAAAGTAGTTTAATTTAGTTTAATTGGTACATTTTAGATATATATAAGAATAGATAGCATTCATGATAGGGAATTTGTACCTGTACATGATATGTCTTAATTCTTTTTATTTATTTATTTTTTGGCTCATTTCTTTCCCCTTCCTTTAACTCCTCTCCTTCCTCTTTATTTACAAAAGTTTTGTATCCGTTTTTTTTCTTTTCTGTTTTTTCCTTGTCCCTTTCTTCCCTTTCTCATCCCCCTCCCTTGTTTCCATTCCCATTTGAATATTTTCCTTCTATTTCCCAATATGTGTTATAAATTTTGGATCTTATTTGCACTTTTGATTCCTTGCAATAGAGAAATAATTTAATATTTAAACGAGTATGCCCACTTTCTTTCACTTAACAATATGGAGTTTAAGTTCATTTATTGACCTAGAAATATCTCTGCTTTATCTTTCTTTATGGCAGAATTATATTCCACTGTATAAAAAAGCCACCTCTTATCCGTTCATTTGGGTTGTTGCCAAGATTTAACAATTATAAATTGCACTGCTATAAACATGTGTGTACATATATTGATGTGGTGTGATGCTTTTAATTTTGGGGGAATATATCAAGAAAAGGAATAGCTGGGTAAAGTGAAACCCCTAGTTTTGCTTTTATGAGGAATCTCCACACTGATTTCCACAGTACTTGCATCAGTCTACATTTCCATCAACAGTGGAGTAGTATTCTGTTTCCCCAACCCCCTTCCAGGATCATTAATGTTTAATTTCTTGATAATAGTCATTCTTTTGGGAGTGAGATGAAGTCTCAGTGTTGTTTTGATTTGCATTCTCGAATGACCCAGATGTTGAAAACGTTTTCCTATATTTACCTACAATTTATACTTCTTCATCTAATTAGTCTTTAGATTCTTTTAGATTCTCATTTTCTTTTTTTTTAATTAAAAAAATTAAAAGAAAGGAGGAGACTAAGATAAAAGAGGACATAACAACATAATAACACAGGTCAGAACAGATCAATTTAAGCAACATAGTGTTTCACCACAAGATAACCTGACATAACAGTAGCTACCATAGTGTCCCTTTCCTTGAAATATTTGAGTATAACTTCATATATTATAGCATCAAACATAACATGAAAGTGTAAAACCATTCAAGAGAATGAAAGTATTACGGGGTATTTAGAACTAACTAACATAAAATGAACAATGGTTTCTATATTGTCTCCTTGTCTATAAAATTTTGTTTATACTATCACATATAATAAAATCCAATAAGATAAAATCCAACAACATGATAAAACCAATGGAGACAGAAGAACAAAAGCTTCATGGGACTTCAAAATAAGATGATATTATATCAGCACTAGCTATTATATTGTCCTGTTTTCTTCAAAATAACTGTTCATACCATCACAGACAATAAAATCAAACAACCCAGAATAGAACCATTCCAATTAATGAAAACATTATAAGGCTTCAATGCAATATAATGGGTAATTATGTTTACCACATACTTTTATGTATTCTTACCCTTTCTTTTTATTTATTTATTTATTTTAATCGATACTGGGGATCAAACTCACGACCACCTGCTTGCAAGGCAGGTGCTTATGCCGCGGAGCTAAATCCCCAGCCCATTCCTACCATTTCTTACACTAGGGAAACTATTTGGTATTTATACATGTAAGTTTGATTTATTTCACATATGAGTATGGTCTCAAGCTGTGCCCATTTATTTATAAATATCTCAATGTGATCATTCTTTATAGTTGAGTAATACTCCATTGTATAAAAATACCACTACTCGTTTTTATCCATTCCTCAGTTGATGGACACTTGGGTTGTTTCCAAGATCTGGCTATTACAAATTGTGCTGCTATAAACATGGGTGCACATATATCACTGTGGTGTGATGTTTTCAGTTTTTCTGGGAATATGCCTAGAAGTGGAATAGCTGGAACAAATGGGAATTCCAATCCCAGCTTTTTGAGAGATCTCCAGACTGACCTCCACAAGGGTTGCACCAGTCTACACTCCCACCAACAGCGCAGGAGAGTTCCTTTTTCCCCACAGCATCTCCAGTATTTGTTATTGGTAGTTCTTTAAATGTGGTGGGTATGATTTTTTAGTGAGTTTTTCATATTTTCTAGACATTAATAGTGTGTCTTAGGAAAAGCTGGCAAAATATTTTTCCCAAGATGTGCATTATCTCTGCAGTCTGTGTTGGTTTCTTTTGCTGTGCCAAAGCTTTTTCATAAGATGAGATATCAATTACTTTTTCTGATGTTTCCTGTATGCCTGAGATTTTGTTCAAAAAGACTTTGCTCAGAATTATGTCTTCAAGAATTTTATCTATTCTCCCTCCTAGCAGATTTAGTTTCTGTTTTAATATTTTGATGTTGATCCACTTCAGTTTCAGCTTAGTGAATGAAGAGAGGGGTCAAGTTTTAATCTTCAGCATATGGAAAGCAAATTTTTTTTGCAACATTTTTAAAGAGGCTATCTTTTTTCCAGCGAAGGTGTCTGGCTCCTTTGTCATAGATAAAGTGACTTTGTTTGGAGTTGTTTCTCTTCTAATCTGTTTCACTGACCAACAAATCTACTTTTGGCTAGTATTATCATAGTAGCTTAGTACAATTACAAGTCAGGGTTGTGATACTGTCTGCCTTGCCTCATTCCCTAGAATTGCTTTTGCTATTGCAGGTCTCATCTGGTTTCAAATGAATTTTAGGAATGTTTTGTGTAAGTCTGTGAGGCACGATACGGGTATTTTGATCAGAATTGTATCAAATCTATATAACAATGTTGGAAGTAGAGCCATTTTTCACTATATTGGTTCTTCTTATCCCCTACCTAGGAACAGGAGGTATCTTTCCATTTTCTTATATTCCTTTTGATCTCCTTTTTTCAGAATACTGGAGTTTTCAGTGTAAAGGAGTTTTACTTCCTTGTTAGGTTAATTTTTAAGTATTTCAGTTTTTCTTTGAGTGCTGTTCTGAAAGGTGAGCCTTTCCTAAAGTCTCTCTCAGTGAGGGTGTTATCTGTGTACAGGATCAGTGTTAATTTTTGACTTTTGACTTTGCATGCAGCTATTCTACTTAGTTTAGTAATTAAATCTAGAAGTCTTTTGGTAGAGTTTTCAGAGTCTTCAATGCAGAGTCTCTTGTCGCCTGCAAATAATGATAATTTTATTTCTTTTTATGTATCTTTATTCATTTTAAAAACAAAAAATAAAAACAAAGACACAGAATTTAAGAACAAAATAATAGATTAAAAATGGTTAATATATTGCATGTTGTTGTCTTCAGAGAAGCTGCTCAGTTTACAAGATATAGGCATAAAAAATAATCAAACAATGAAAGACCAAAGTTTTCTTTGGATAAACTAATATAGATTACTAGTATAATTCTCTCTCTCTCTCTCTCTCTCTCTCTCTCTCTCTCTCTCTCTCTGTCTCTCTGTCTGTCTCTGTCTCTGTCTCTCTGTCTCTGTCTCTCTCTCTGTCTCCCCCCCCCCTCTCTCTCTCTCTCTCTCTCTATATATATATATATATATATCTATATATATATACTCTATTTATTTCATTTCTTTTGTGTAATGGCTTTGGCCAATGTTTCCATAACTATGTTACATAACAATGGTTTTAGTGGATATCTTTGCCTTGTTTCTGACTTTAGAGTGAAAGGTTTCAGCTTTGGAGCATTTTTTCAGATGTTGGCTGTTTGTTTGATGAACGGTTTTTATTAGATTGAGACAAAAACAATCTATTTTAATTTTTTGCATAATTTTTTTATCATGAATGGGTGCTGAGCTTTGTCAAATAATGTATCTACTGAGATGAACACATGGCAGAATTACTGTGGGGTGGTGGATTGTCTGAGCAAAACTGCACCCTTAGTTTCTGGTTGTGAGGCTGGGACCCAAGTTTTTCAGCTCACAGGTCTCCAGGTGCCTCCTTCTAGCGTTAACTCATATCTCTACAAGACTGCACTTGTTTCTCTGACCTTCCACTAGCTTGAACACAACTGTGCCTCACCCTGACACTGGGAGCCATTAGATGGAGGCAATCCCCATCTTCTCTGAGTTCTGTGTTCAAGTGGTCCCTTTGTAAAGCAACAATTAGCCC